TGTATATTATTACCAAAGAAGAAAAAAAGCCAGACAGCCACTCAATAGTGTCTGACAGTGAAGTCTAGCAAGTAAATGGGTTTCCTTGCATAATTTGAATATTAGAACACTGCTAACGTTTCAATTTTACAGATACGACATACATGACATATTCATAATTCCTGCAAAGTTCTACAGAATTTGAGGTTGGCTGCAAAAGGGACATAGTACCTTTAAATCAGTTTGCTATCAGGGTTCGATTTCCTTTATTTAAAGCATTAATGCTCTCTTTCTGATATGCTAGTAATAATATCGTTATAACGATGAATATATTACAGTAATGCTAATAATTATAGTATATTGATTTAGATAGATAGATAGATAGATAGATAAATGGTATTTATTGATTCATTTCCATGTATCACAGTTACAAGTAACTGAATTGTGCATGAATAAAACATTGATGGTGAAGACAATTATACATTTCAAGAGATATCACAGTAAAAAGTAACTGAATTGCACATGAGTAAATTGCTGGAAAAAGCAAGTATACATTTCAAGATGTCACACTACAATCTACATAATTATGAAGAGCGTGTATATACCATTAATCCTATACAATATTTCAATTTAAAAATTTGAGTTAAAAAAGAAAGAGAGATAGGAAAGCAGGAGAGAGAGAAAGAAAGAGAGATAAAGAGAGAGAGAGAGAAAGAGAGAGAGAGAGAGAGAGAGAGAGAGAGAGGGGAGAAAGGGGACAGATGGACAGAGAGGGAAAACAATTATGTACATGCTAATAAAATACAAAGATACATTGCAAGACAAATATGAATATTATTAGATGAACATTAGAGATATTAAAATATAAATATAGATATGCATCGCATTCTTCATGTCATAAAAATTACATTGACAAACTTGGTAAAAAACCAGACCTCAAATTTATGAATTAATTATATACTATTTGTTTCAAAGTATATTAAATACAATCATAACAAACTTTTGTTATACAAGCGTATCAAATCTGGGATTGGGCTATTCTGCATACGTTTAGTTTTGCACCTGGGTTCAGGGATCTTGTTAGTTCTTCGCAAAGTTCTATTGTGTGCTCTTTGGGGTATAAATTGTTTGAACTGGTTTGTGCATGATAGAGTTTTTTTTAAAGAAGGTAACACATAAGTCATTTCGACGACTTTCCAATGTTTGTAATTTCGATTTAGTAAGAGCGTTTGCGTAACTATGGTAATCCTTTCTAAAGATAATCCTCAATGCACGTTTTTGTATTCTTTCTATGCGTTGTTTTTGTGCACTAGTGAGGCCTCCGCTCCAAACTTGAGTAGCATATTCAAGGATTGGGCGAATATAGCCAATAAAAATAGTAATCAGATCTTCATGTGAAAAACCGAACAATTATATTACAAATACGAGAGGTTCCCTTTGAAAAAAGTGTTACCATTCGGGAATGTCATGAAATATAGGTTCATCCACTTGACTCTCAATCCAAGGGTCGTTGGTTCGAATTCCAGCGTTACTTTATCGTCAAATATGTACCCGGTAGTCATTTTAGTTTACACAGCATTGTGAGCCACTGGGGTCTGCCTAAAATGCCTCCCCCTTAAGGAATGGAGATTGTGCATTCATTGTGTGCTGACTGAATCCGAAACGGGGGCAATAATATATATATGTAAAGTACTTAGATACATCTTTGATGTCTTCAACGTTTTAGATGTCTTGAACGTCTTGATTACTAATCATTATTATTGTTGTTATCATCATCTTAATTCTTTATCATGATTAATATTGGTATAATCATCAGTATCTTAATAAACAGCAAAGTCTTGGGCCCCGTTGCATAAAACTTACCATTGATGGTAACTTTGCCATCAATGGCAACTTCCATGGTAACTGGGCTCAACAGCTAATCGAAATCAAGGTGTCCAGGGTAGTTACCATCAATGGTAAGTTTTGTGCATCGGGGCCCAGCTTTATTTCGTGTGATCCGGAATTTTAGTATTGATGGTAAATATCTACGATTGTGAAATTGTCTTACGCGAAAACACAGAACGCGATGAGCACCAGAACAGCCAAAATGATCACGCCGGAAGCGATACCGATCGTACGACCTGTATGGTTCATTCCTGGTTCTTGAAAAAAGAGCAAATTTATATGTCATGAGAAATAGAAAAAAAAAAAGATTTCTGACTCAATATCGCTAAAATTTTTGTTACAATGGAAATGTGTAAAGGGGCCGGACTGCAGATATATGGCTTGATAGTTTATCCAGATTTTTTTTCAGAAAGCTCTGGTCACATTTCGAATATGATAGCGACTGAAGACCATTCATTATCAGGGTAAATGATACTTCCAAGGTGCATGCAAAAAATGAACAGTAATGCGAATGAATGATCTGTCAGTTTTACCAGATCTCAACCATTTGATAATTTGTGTCACGTGATATCTCAAAGAAAATTCCCCATTAGGTAAAGATTACAATGATATCTTACGCCTTACTTATGTCCTCGAAAATTAGTCTTGGAACAGATTTCGTCCAAGAAAACAATTAGTAAAATCGATTTCGTAACAAATCTAGTTTGATGCTAGTGCAACACTTGGAGCCCAATAATCGTCATCAATTTTCTTCTTCTTTTCTTCTTCTTATTCTTCTTCTTCTTCTTCTGCTCTATTCTTTATCTTCTTTCTTTCTTTCATCTCACTTTCACTGATCATTATGATTCTTTTGTGTTTTAAAGATCGACTTTTCAAATCCTTTCCATGAAATCTCCTGCCAGGGAATGAATCTTCACGGGAATTAAAATCATTCTGTCTCCAAAGTTACGAATATCAATGGATGGAGGTAGACTCCTCTTTACGAAAGCTTAATCGTGTAGCGAAAATACGACTAGTCTTGTTTAACTCGCCAAAGCGCCAATTTAAGACGAGAAGGCGACTTGCTAAAAAGTAAAACTCGCCAACTGTTCGCCTTCGTTATTTGAAGTAAATACGGCGGAAAGGCGATTTGTTGAAACTCGTCAAGGCGCCTCTTTTTATTTTAACAAAACATTTGAAAAAAAGGCGAGAAGATAAGTTTTACTACGAACCAAGGCGCCTTTTGTATGTAAAGATGACGAGAAGGCGACTTGAAGAGTAATAAACAGTAATCTTCTCGTCTTCTCGTCACAAACAAGGCGCCTACTGGCGAGTTCATTAAACATGTCGCCTTCTAGCTCCACGTTTAAACTTTCATACCTCTAACATACCAAACTAAAACATACTCACCTGGGCACTTCAGATCCTCCGTAACATCCCATGACCTCGAAGAAGCATTACATATCCAAGTCGTGCTTGCATTCCCATCGTTAATGCATGTGATGATGATTTGCTCACCAGGAGTGTAGAGATCTTTGGGATCTTTGATGTGACTCTCTTCAGATTCAATCGGTAAGGCGCATGTGATAACTGTGTAGGACGTATTGAAGTATGAATTTAATGTAACCTTCCACGATTTTGGGTGGAATACTGGAACAATCGGTTGTAGTAAAATTTCGCTGGTGTTTCGAAATTAGGTAGCATAGGTCTTTACACACCATTTGTGTATGTTTTTTTTTAATTTTTTAATTTTTTAATTTTTTTATTGCACTTGACTTTTACAAAAGAGAATAAGGACGAAAGGTCTTTACCCTACTTTACACTCTGACTGTATATCTACAAAAAGCAGTGAATAGGCCTTTCTTCCTCATCTTTATTTTCTCCTTCTTGTCTTTATTCATCATCTTCTTCATCACCTTCTTCTTCGTCTTCTTCTTTTTTCGTCATCTTCTTCTTCTTCTGCTTCGTCTTTGATAATAGTCGTACTTGTAACTTGATGGAAAGATTGTTACCATGTTTAATTACCTGTGTCGCAGTCTTTACCAGTGAATCCAGTCACACAATCACACTCATAATCAGATACACTTAACGGATGGCATGTTCCGTAAATGCAAGGCTCAGCAGAACATGAGTCAACTGAAAGATAATGGACAGATTTTTGTTTTGAGTCAAAATACGACATATTTGCATGCATACATAGTCTGTTGTATTTCTTATATCATATGATCTATATACCTTTTAATAATTCGCCTGGCAATTGACATATCAAAGTACTTATATGCTTAGTATTTCATGTGAAAGTTAATACAATAATGTATTGTTGCTATCAATCATGTAACGTATATCAGGATCTTTATAATATATTATTCATTCATTCACCCACCTAATTTTTTCAATTGAATTGCAGGAAACGTATACAGTTTTTAACCGACTTAAACAAAAAATAACAGGCAGATTCTGTGTAAATGATATCAAACACATACATACACAATTAAGTTTATAACGAACTAAGAAAATTAATAAATTAACAAAATTATTTCATGAAGTTTAGATTTGGGCTATGGTTAGGTTACTGTTTTTTACGTCATACCCACACACATACAACAGTGAATTGAATTTTCTTTTTTTTTTCTTTTTTTAAATATCTTTCTTCTTTTTCTTCTTCTTCTTCTTTTCTTTCTTTGGGTCAAAATACGAGATATTTGCATGCAGGAACCGGTTTTGTTCTACGCCCAGGCACGATTTGTCTTTTGTATTTCTCATAACATTTCTTTTATATACTTTTTAACAATTTGCCTGGCAATTAAATAAATCAAAATAAAAGTCAATCACAAATGCTTGGTATTTCAAGTGAAAGGTGAAGGGGCTTCTTTCTTCCCATTCTTCTTCTTTTTCTTCTTCTCCTCCTTCTTCTCATTTTCCAAAGTCAATCTTTGTACATGTAGTTTTCTTAATTGAATGATATTCTCACCTACGACGTGGATACCGGAGGGTTGAGCAATGATGCTGGCAGATGAGTACAGACCAGGCCATGTTTGATTGTCAGGCTCCTCTATCCCTACCCCCTTTAGCGCCCAATCACTCCAGATCACCGTACCCTTGTACACTATCACACCAAACGGATGAAAGGCACCGTGGGTACTATCAAGCAGAACCTTCCTCCCACCACCATCAAGGTCGCACGATTCAATCTTGTCGAGACGAGCATCACACCAAATCAACCGATTCCCTACATCAAAGAAAAGAGGGAACATGCACCGGCCGTTGCCTATGAAGATGGAATAATATTTCTCTACCTTTTTTCCTAAAACGATTGTGACACTACGATGTTATTCTTCATACAATTCATACCTTCTTAAGCATGTATTTGATAAAACCTTGTGACACAATCAATCGATCAATAAAGTTCTGAGAAGATATTACAAATTTGTATAATACCTAAAAAAAAAAAAATCGTCTCAATCATTTTTATTTAAATCCCATATACGGAGGGATAATATAACCTGCACGTGGAGACTATATTTCAGGATTTATAAATGATTTCATAAAGCCAAGCAAAGAAACTAGTCAGGCAATATTTCAAAACCGAGTAAAGGCAGATTTTTGAAAACGGCGATTCACGCCAAGTGATTACAATGCCCTCATTGTTTAGTGCGTGGCAATTTAAGCATTTGAGAATCTTACTCATGATAGTCAACCTGCTGTATATATACATATACATATTTTAAAATTTGGATTTTTATTGCTATGCTTGTCATTTGGAAGGTATCTTTTCGTCACTAATCAATAATGAAAAAACACGACACATATTAAGACTCTTTTCTAATTTGTGGGATCGCAATTCTTGTTATATGTTCAGCTAAGGGTTATTTAAGATTTCGGTACTACCACTAACAATCAGTTATGGTAATTAAACCGTGTCAACGAGTTTTAGACTACCTTGCATATCGTAAGTGATACCGTTTGGCCATCCGATGTCTGTATCCAGAATCATCTGACGTCCAGAACCATCCCGATTAGACATCTCAATCTTGGGTGTACTCCCCCAGTCCGTCCAATAGAGCTTCCTGTATTGAAAGGTAATCCAGCCTTTGTAATGAAGTCATGGTATGAACGCAGATAAACTCAAAGTAACTCAATGTGAAAGACTTGAGATAAATTGGACCAATTAATAAGAAAGTTAAGACTTTTGAAATATTATAATACTTATAATAATTATATGTCAATCTCAATTTGGCAATTCAGTCAGTTGATTATGATGCACGGTCAATAAGCCTCCCGTTATTGCTGAAAATGCTGAAATTGGTGAAAACAAAATAATATTATTAAACAGGTCCGCTAAAGAGGAAAGTCTTCCTCCTAAGTAATTCATTTTTTAAAAATTGACATTTTTGCCACTTTGTGTGTGATGGGACAAATGGAAAAAGTACACTACTTCGCCTGAATCTTACTCATTTAGCCATTTTTAATTCCCCATACGAACAGAGATTGCAATGATCCATGAAATTAAAGGACGGTAAATACCAGCAAAAAAAGGCTTCCGCTTCTCTTTTTTTGCCCCTGCCCCCCCCCCCGGCTCTCTTTTCCTCCAAGACATTTCTCTGTTTTGCATATCGTTCATAAAGTGGTATTGATCAAATACTTTTCAACATAGAAAAAGCGGAAATATTAGACGATGTCAAACCTGTTTTCTGGAACAATTATAATTGCCCTCGGCATATCTACATCGTTTATCAGTACTCGCTGGTTCGATCCGTCAAACTGGATGGATTCGATGGTTTTGAAGTCCGTATCTGTCCAGAAAATAGTTTCGTTGTCGCTATCCACAAAAAGACCGTCAGGAACTGCGTTAAATTGGAAGGAATTTTTTTTTTTTTTTGAAAAGAGGGGACTGCGAATTTGATAATACTGTATTTGATGCGCTGATGAATTGTTTCACCCGTCCACAATCCCACCCCCCCCCAAAAAAAAAAATATATATATATATAATAATAATAAATGAAAAAATGAAAAAATCCAATATCTACCATGATTATTTATTTTTGTTTTTGTTCAAGTAGGAGCATTTGTAGAAGAATGCTATTATAAAAACACCACACGCACAGACACACACGCACACATATGCACACGCACACACATATCTTTATAGATAAGTACTTATAAAGATTATATGCTGGGGCTTTTCGGGAAGGGGCGTGGGTTCTGGCAATCATTTTGTAGATGTAATTCACACAACTTGCGGTGGAGTGAGTACTTTAGCCCTTTAAAAGTAATGCACATTTTTGGGAGTTTTTGACTATTGGGTTGATAGTAATTCTTTGAAATATTGATATATTTGGATGCCCCTGTGGATGTATTATAAGTACTTTGAAAATCTCAGAATATGCAGTTCTGATATATAATTTCCTCACGGGAAAAGCAAATCGGTCGATTGCAGTAAAACTAAATGTTTTAAGCTAAAGAAATATCCGTCTTGAGAGGGCGCTCTGCAACATAAAGAATTTATTGTTTACAATTTCATCATTTTAGACTCGATTTCAACCGCGACAACGATCATTTAATATTTTACAATAGCATATGCTTCTAATATGTTCATTTTAACCAAATTCATGACCCCATACCAAAACTTTGTAATACCCTATATAACCGATATATTGCTTAAACGTTAGAAACACAAACCTCCAAGCCCGTGAACGACTATTCTTTGATTAGACCCATCGATTTGAGCAGCACTTAACGTCTTTCTTTCCACGTCTGTCCAATACACTTCCTTTGCTATGACGTCATACCCCACTGCTACTGGCTTTTGTACAAAGAGAAACGGGAGCTGCCTAAAATTCAGATTGTTCGTGTGTGCAACATAAATTGCCCCTCCACTAAGGTCTGTCAAAAACATCAGAGAACCTGCCGAGAATGTGTAAAATGGTAATGGTTACGCATGAAAGGTAAGTTCCGAGCGTTACAGAATGACATCTAATTTTTCATTTTTACATTTTTTATTACTCCATCTGCAATGAGTAGTGTATTTAGCATTATGAAGAAGTCCTTTCACAACAATTGGGTTTCCTATCATTTTTTTTTTTACAAGGGCTTGTTTCGGAATGATAATTATAAAAGGTAACTTTTTCGTCATTCCATAAGAGAGCTATCAAAATGTTATCAATTTGATGAATGGCTGATAGCAAACTCTCCTGCTGTGGAAATGCCATATATTATTTAATATATTATATAATCAATTTGTAGCCTTTTATTGATATATCTGTAATATTCTTTTCAACGAATTCGTTAGTAATGTCATTCCGTTACGCTTGGAATTGACCGACATATGAATGCAAGGGAAGAAGTTTGGTGATGGCATCATACAATTATTGATTAGGGATACGATACCGCGTGTGAGTTCTTTAGTGCTGGTGCGGAGGCTACACAGTAAAATATTTCACATGATGGACCTCAAATACAGTGCAAATTGACTTATTGGATATATTATTAAACATTGGTCAAAATATGATTGCATAATATAAGACCCTGATTATGGTTGATAGGATAATTGATATTGCAATCAGAACAGTGACGTCTCTCCGGAGCGTTTAACTTAAAGTAAACTTTGGAACGTCGTCTGTGGAGGTATGAGGGTATAGTGGTTCATTTACTTGACCCTCAATCTAAGGGTTGGGGGCTCAAATATCAGCCCGGCACTAACTTCCTTGGCAAGATACTTATCCACATTTGCCACTCTCTACCCCAATTGTAAAAAGATACCCGATAAACATGAAAACAACAGTATGGCCGCCAGCTATGACCGTGGTAATAATATTGGAGCGCCAGGAGCGTCGGGGCATTTGGACAAGTGCGCTCAATAATTATTTGAAGTCATCATTATCATCATCATTATTATTATCAATGTTATTATCATCGTTATTATTTTCATTGTTATTATCATTATTTTTGCTGGTGTTGTTGTGTTTTTGTTAGCATTGTTGTTATTATAGTTATTATCGTCATTATTATAATCGTCATCATCGTTGTTATTATTATCATTATTATTATTGTTGTTGTTATTTGTTTAATGAAAGAATTGTTTTATTGAACAGACATACTGGAGTCTTCGGCTGGATCGCAGTTCGTTTCATCCGACTGATCGAGGCAGTCAACGAGGCCATCACATTGCCATGCAGAAGGGATGCAAAGATCTCCGCATGTAACTTCATCTGCAAGACACCTCTCTTCGGGTCTCTTTGAGTAAGATTGGCCTAAGAAATAGAGCAAATAAGAGTTCAAACATTTCTAATTGCGAAGGGGATGAAAAATAAGAGTTCAAACATTTCTAATTGCGAAGGGGATGAAAAAGTAAAACGTTGTCGTAAAGAAGACCATCAAATAACTGAAGCCCAACTTCCAAAACATCTTTCTATACATTTTAGAAGGAAAGTGCAGTTGTCAATATTCTATAGTATAGGGGAGTAATTTTAGTAACCAAATCTTTGACTTTACCTTGGAGGACAAGTCCACTCGAAAAATAACTTACTTTCAATAAAAGCTGAAAATTCAGACAAACCAATCAAAACAAGTTTGAGCAAAATCGGATAACTAATAAGAAAGTTATGAAGTTTTGAAAAAGTATGTAAAACTACACAGTTAAAACGGTGTTTAAAATATCACTGTTTAAAAGAATGTTTTTTAAAAACGTAAACAACGTTGTTCAAAATCGAAAAATCAGTGCTTAAACAACTATTTATTAAAAAACTAAAAGATTTAATTAAACAGAGTTGTTTAAAAAGTCCCGGGGGAAAAATCACGTGATAGATTTAACCAATCATGATTTTGCGTCGTTGACATTTTCTCGATACGCGATTACAGTTTGCTCGCACACATGCGATATGCACAAAGTATGTACATAGTACATGCATGCAAGCATGCAGTGATATTGTGCATACAGTGCAAGTGCTAGTACAGTGCAGTGCAGACGAAAATGGCGGAACAAGGGCGAGGCGACGACTTGGTTCTTCTCAGCTTCGCCGATGGGGTTTAGCTTAGAGACAAATTTAATAATAGTGTTACCTGCCCCTATTAAATGAATATGATGAACAAATGTTGAAGTAAACTGGTAACGAGCTCTACATGTTACAGTGTAATCTTTGTGATTATTGCAGGAGTGGTTCCAGTAGGTAATTTCACACATAAACAACCAGGTAATAATAACCATTAAACAGTTCTGTTTAAAATTTAAGCAACTCCTTTTAAACAACCCAGTTGTGCAGTAATGTTGAATAAACAACAGTTGCTTAGTAATTTAAACATTAATGTTTAACATTTACACAAGTTGCTTTAAACAAGCGAGTTGTGCAATTTTATTACTAAACAACTGTTGTTTAAAAGTTTTTCTAATTTTTAAACGACTAAGTGTTCAAAACGTAAACAACCTTAAGTTGTTAAATTTTTAAACAACAGTTGAGCGATTCACCGGTTAACTTGTGGTTGTTTAAAATTTTAAACAACTTGTTTAATTTTTTTCTAACAGTGTATGGAACAATGAGAATCACAACACAAATTGCCAAGATAATAAGTGGACAGTGAGGACATGACGTCACAGACTCATGAGTGAGTTGCCAATTTGTCTAGTGATTTTCAAAGTTTTTAATGTCATTACAAATTCATAACTTTCTTATTAGTTATCCGATTTTGCTCAGACTTTTTTTGATTGGTTAGTCTGATTTTTCTGTTTCTATTGAAAGTAAGTTATTTTTGGAGTGGATTTGGGCTTCAACTAAGAAATGTTTAATGTTGTGATATGTATGTATATATATAAAGCAAGAGTGAATTGTGGTCACTCATCAAGCCCCCCCCCCCGCATCCTTCATAAACCATATGAGGGGGCAGATTTGGAAAAGGGGAGACTGGCTCAGAATTGTCATCTATATTACCATGATAAACATGAATTCCTGTGGGGTTTCCAAAATGAAGAATGTTGGCCGAAGCAGGCGAAATACCCCTGTGACCGTGGAGAAGGGTAACACCTCTTGTAACGGAATCTGTCCACAGGGGCATTCCCCTGTACCAGGCGATATCAACTGGTAACGTGCGTTCCGTTCTGAAAAGGGTCACCTGGTCCCCTCCAAGTGGACCAAAAGACTCGATGGTTTCCTTTTGGTCATCAATGATAAAAAGGCGCGTTCCTGAATGTTACGTTTTTAAATTAGAAAAAAAAATGGAAACAAAAGGAGAAAAAACAAACAATATTAAGACAATTAGGTACTGAGGTTTATCGAGACTAACTCAAATAAAGTATCTGATTTTGTGGAGGCACAAGTCTTCTAAATTTCAGACAAGTAAAAGTAATACAATCTCTCATCTCTGAGACGTACTTAACTCCCCCCCCCAATAAAAAGAAGCTTTTCGTGATGATATCATTTAGTTTATAAAGTCAAATTATAGGACTTGCGATCACAGCCGAATTGATGTATGTTGATGCGTGCGTGATTTCTTTGATTTTTTTTTTAGAACTCAATAATCTAAGAGATTCCAGGCATACATATCTCCTACTACACTGCACAATGATGTTCGAGAAAAGCATGTAAAGCTTTAAAACATCATGCAGGGGTACTGAAAAACAAATTCCTCAATCTAAAATTAACCATTAATTAACAATTTCAACGGGTGTATGCCCACATTTGCTTAAAATCGCTAAAGTGATTCCTATTTATAAAAAGGACGATTCCTCAGTAATAAGTAATTATAGGCCAATTTCATTATTACCAAGTATCTCTACAATTCTCGAAAAAATAATATATAAAAGACTTAACACTTTCTTACACAAAAAAATTCATTGATTCCTAA